TGACCTTGACCTGACCTTCGCTACGCAACCCAAGGTCAAACTGATGTGATCAGTAAATACATCTTTTTAAACGCCACAACTTTTATCTGAAACATTTTTTTCTAAAATGCTTAGTTTTCGAGATATTTCACCGGTCCGGGACTTTTTGAACACCTTGTATATATATATATATATATATATATATATATATATATATATATATATATATATATAGAGAGAGAGAGAGAGAGAGAGAGAGAGAGAGAGAGAGCAAGATATATCTTGCTCTCTTTCTTTCTCTCATCCTCCTGCTTCTTCTTTCTTTCTCTCTCTCTCTCTCTCCTTTTCTTTCTTTCTTGATTTCAACATTCAGAAAATATTTAAAAGAAGGATATAGTTACACTCACGTATAATTGTCGCGGCTTGTCAACGGCGGAGAGGCTCAAAAGTTCCGAGTTAACATAATTATTGCTAAACGAGTTCATCAGCGCCTGTTCCAGAAGATTCGTAAGGGTCGCAGAATTGAAGAGCTCGATCGGCGCGGATATCGCATAGAGGCGAGAATACAGCGAATCCGTCAGGCTCTTCGCAAATTCGCCGTTCAACAGAAAGAAATAACTACGCAGACTGTGTAGATGCAGCAGCATATTGTGTTCATTCAACAAGTACTTAATGATCGCGTTATTGATCAGGCGACTCTGTATCTGCAGCGGAATGATAATGGACTTCTCCAGGTACACCTTGAGGGAGGTGTGATCGATCATCTCGACGTCAGCTATAGTCAAGGATGAGGGCACGATGTTAGGTCTCACTACGTCCGGACTGAGGCCGAACAAGTTCGGTAGCTTGAAGTCGCTCATCGGAGACTCGAAACACGTCTCTTCCGTGACGGATCTCACTGTATTGGAAGACAAACACGAAGTTTCCGGGCCGACATTCAAGGAGAACAGGTCTTCGCAGTTCGGCACCTGCGACAAAGGTGTGTGAGTCGACAACGTGGTGAAGTTGTCGGTTGTGCACGACATCGGCGTGTCCATGATGTTCTGCTGTGCCGCGCCGTTGCCAAACACCAACTCCTGCGCTTTCTCGTTCGCGTCGGCTCCGTGCGAACACTCGTTATTCGCAAGCCCGTCCACGATCACTGTTGTTTCCGGCAGTTCGACATCGAACGTCGAAAGAACGTTGTTATTCACATTTTCGCCCGTGCTTTCGACATCTCTTTCGTGGACGGCGTCCAGCAACACTCGATTATTGTCGTTCAGATTTGTGCAATCTGCGATCTGCGCCTGACCCGCAAGTATCGTGCTGAACTCGTTGTTATTCGGAGTCATACCGTACTCCTCTAGTAGGACTTTGAGCTTGTTAGCTTGTGCAGCGGTCATATTATCAATTTTCTTGATAGCTAAGGACTTAGGTCTGTTAACAGCACCGATTATCTTTCCAGTCAGCTCATCGACTCTGAGGATATTGTTCAAACGAACATCCAGTGTCATCGTGTTTGGTGCCCGCTCAGTCATAATAGTGCGGATTTCCTTCATCGCCTCGTCGCGCAGAAAATCCTGCAAGTTGCTCCTTTCGTTGTTTCTCTTGTATATATAATTCAATGGCAAGGACTCTTGCGGTAGACATACGTTCTGCGTGTTTTGCGTCGTGTGCGAATACTTGGTCGTGACTTCTTCAGCCGACACGTTGTTTTTATTGTTAGAATCACGATTTCCCGTAGGTGGAGTGTCAGTGTCCGTGGAGATTACTTCAGTAGGAGATAGAATTTCCGCGGGGCTGATATGATTAAAGATGTCTGTCGTGACATCTATCGCTTCATTGCCCGCGAAGTTACTGTTCTCGTCCTGGTTTGGTACTGATTCCACTTCGGATGTAGATACGTCCATGCCTATGGAAACGAGAGTGTCTTTATTTGGTTCATCAATATCAACCACGTCAACATTCTCGCCCGAACTCGGTATGCCGATGCTCTCCGACATCGTTCTGTCGCGTCTCCTTAAGGACTCCAACAATTCCACTCGTCTCTCGAAATTGTTCATTCTCGCTTTACGCCAATTAGATCGTACACGAATCCTTTCTAGATCGCCAGATAATTTATCGTAGTAACTCACAAGATGCTCTCTGAAACAAGATTGTAAACTTAAGCTATTTGAACATTAAACAAACGATTGGACAATTTCTGTCTTAAAACTTTCTCTGTCCAAAATTCAAGGATTTGTAATGATGAGATGGTCCAGAAAGAAAAAATTTTGTAGCTTAAGTCTCTCATACATATTAAAGACATAATGTTTGCCCAAGATATCTAAGAGATACTTTTCAAGATATTCTGATTTAAATGAGAAGTAGCAATTGTTTAATTTTCAATCTGATCTTTTTTGGTTGTGTCTTATTATTACGCTTTAGTTTTTACATCTTATTCATTTTAAGCTTATTTGTATCATAAATATAAAAGACACATTTTCAAGAGAAAACTTTGAAGTTTTCTATTCATTTCTTTTTTTTCAAGCGAGCATAGTATATCCATTCGCTCATTCTCTGCATAAATCGCCAACGCCAGAAAAATATTCCTTTTTTGTTTCAACATTGAGTAACTCCATGAAAAATTGTCTTACAATCTGTGATTATACAAATTAACGTTCGCTACCAGCGTTGCATATGTGTGAGACGCAATAATCTCTTGTATTACAGTGAAAATTTTTCATTCTATGCCAATATGAACAAATTAAATCTGTTTTATGTATTACATAAAAAAATACAGATTGGTCTGTGGGAACGATTTCTCATATGAACGGTGGTAGTGAACGTATTAAAAGAGAAAATTCGCATTTTCGAACGGCGTAAATATTATTTGTATTTTTTTTGTTTACGCAATAATGTAATTTACAACTTCATTAAAAAAATATCTTTAATATTTGTACAGAAGATTAGTAAACTTTATATCCACAAATATATTTAGAATTTGAATGCTTGAAACTGCAACATATCTTTCGAATCGCCTCATCGTTATTATTTTTATGAAAGTTACAGCTCATTCAAGTTTACGTGTTTGTGATCGAGAAAAGTGATCCTTTTATTTCTTTATATTTAATATGTATATTTAACACTTTTGGTATCACGTTTTATTTAGGAAACTTTTCCTATAGAGACCACATTTTTATACAATTACACCAAACTTGATTTATTTATATAGGTATGGAAAAGTTATCGCTATTACGCATATGTAACATTGGTAAAAATGAAAATTTTGAATAAAGAATAATTTGAAATGAAAGATCGGCACATCACACGTGTGTGACGATGATAAGACTCACCGTTCGGCCCTCTGTTGCTCCCGCATTTCTTCTTGCTCCCGATTGATCTTCTCGAGCAACAATTTATCAGCCAACATCTCAAGTTCTTTCTCCTTTTCCTTAATTAAGGCACTTTCCTCCGCCTGTTTCTTTAACATTTGCAGCAAAACTCGTTTACTTTGTACGGTCCTCGCGACGAGTTCTTCACGTTGTTCTAAGCAAAGTATCGGAGAAGCAGTTAAAAATAGCATATTTATCGTTTGTAGCGCAATAATGATCGGAAGGAGAGAATTGGAATGGGAGTATTTACTGTTGATTCTCGCTAAGGTATCCTGCTGCGCTCGTATCACTAGTTCGGCCTTTTCCCTTTCGGCTTTCTTCTCGTCTCGAATTGCGGACAGAAGCGATACTATCGGCCCCAATGTCGCCTCGCCTTTCCGTTCGTACTCCTGACACCTTAGCAGTTGTTCTCGCAGCATAGACACGCTTAAACAGACTCTCACTTCTGGTTGACCACTGATGGATATGTTGCATACCGAGTTCTAGATTGAACAGTTTTGCAAAACCTTGTTATAGAAGCTCAAATGGTCAAATCACCAAATTCAGCGATAAATAACCTTTGGACTGCAGATTTTCAAAAGTCGTAGCGTCTTTCCGCACCGCAGAATCGATTCCGAAAGGTCGGACAGGAAACCGGGCACCGAGTCCGTATCGACCGCGAAGCCCTCCGTCCAAAATTTACGTCCTCTCTTTCGCAAATGCTGAGATCGCATTTGAATCATAAATTCTCCGTAGATATCGTCAAACGTCCCTTCGAATAGCCAATTTTGCAAAAACCTGGAAACCGATCGATGAACCCGTTCAATATGGCATTACTAATAACTTATTGCAAAGAACCAAGCTTGGGAAAGTTTCTTTTTAAAAGTAGCTCGTTACCGTTACTCATTGAAAACAGTAACCCGTTATCACTCTGCACTATGACAAATAACTTGTTACTCAACAATAACGACTCGTTATAATTTTCATTGTTCTTTAAAGTTTCGAAGATAATTTTTTTAACGATTCGTTATTTTACTCACCCAATGCATATATATATTCTATATACTCAAAATAAAGATGTAAGTAATGATGATACCTTCATACTGATCGCATAATAGCAGATATAAATGAAAAAAATATATGATGGCTGAAAACAATGAACGACCGAAAGATAATATAACGTCATTAATCTTTAGACTGCCGGAATTTTTCATTAAAAAAGTGTTTTTTTTTTATTTTTCTATATAAGTAACATACACATGGTGCAGAATTTTGAGATTTGTGCAAAGCCACAAAAGTGGTTTTCCCAGCAGTCTAAAGATTAAAGGTGCTGTCATTGTTTCATCCTGAATAGTAGAAAAAGAAAAAATTGGGAAAGTAAAAGACATAATTGCACACAACAATTATATAAAAATCGAATGAAAGTATCGCAAAGAAAAAGAGCAGCAACACAGAATAAAACGTGTAGCGGGAAAAGGCAGAACAAACGATATATGAAAGAAGGTTGTGGTATTGAATGGCAAGTTGTAATATATGAGAGATATCGTTTAAAACTTGCCAAAACGATGTAATCATTACATTCATTGCCGTTACTAAGAAAAAATATAATTGCGTTAATATAATACGATTACTGTTATTAAAAAAGAAACGTTGCTACCACGTGATTAAAAAAAATATATATATATTATTTTTAACGGTAACGATGCTACAAATAATGCTACTCCCCAACCCTGCTTCTACCTTATACAAAGAATACAGAACGAGAGTGCCTTACCGAAAGTAAACCTCACAACACGATTTTAATATAGAATAAAACACCAACGCGACCTTTGGATCAGTGACTTTGGTCACTTCTTTATAAATATGCGTCAAGATCCCGCTGCCACCGACCAGAGTACACTGACCATGTTGCTCATAACCGCATAGTCTCGCGACTTCCACGATCAGACGCGCCAATGGCCGGACTTCCTTAAACAGACTCAACAGTCCGTGGAACTCGTGTCGGTTGAGGATCCTTTGTAACGCTGCTCGATAGTACAACAGCAATTCTTTAACATTGGTACACATCGCCTGCACAATCATATCCACAATGTAATGGAAAGAAACGGTATGCACGTACTGCAGCACGTATGCAGCACATTTATGGATCCAACGTTACCTTGAATATTAGACCATCCTGCTGCAATTTACCCGTTTGTGGGTCAGGCGTGACAAGGCGCGACAAGGACTTGAAACTGTTGCCCCAATTAATTGCCTCTCGGCATGTGATCATCAGCGATTCCGAGCTTATACCCAGCACGGTAATGTTCTCCTCCAATTTAAATCCCGTCTGAAATGCAATTGAAACACTCATTCGGTCTGAAATTGCATCCTATGTGGATTAGTTTACAACCTTTCGTGAACATATTTCAATTTACTACTGCTGTTACTTCAGGAAGAGAAATAGTTTCAGATTATTTCTTTCTTTAAAAAAATAAGCTGAAGAAACAAGCTGAAATATTCACAAAACAATAGGTGATAAACTATAGGGCCTATGAATGCTGTGCGTTGAATCAAAATATGCTTTAATTGGTTACATTAAACCAATATCTAAGGTATCAATAGCAAAGTCTATAATAAACGTTTCGTTCCACTTTGAAATCTTCTTTAGTGTAAAGAGTCGCTAATTAGCTTCGTATCGCAAACAATGATATAAATTGCAATGAGAATTTTGGTCTAGTGGAATTCCCATTACAATTAATATCTATATCGTTTGGTTGCGATACAAAGCTAATTAGTGGTTTTTTACACTAAAGGTCTCAAAGTGGATCAAAACGTTTGTTAGAGAAAGAGGCTTCGATGCATTAGATATCAGTTATTTGATGTAACTAATTAAAACTTTGATTCAACGCACGGCGCTTGATCAATAGACTCTTTATCTATTGTTTTTTTTTTAATCTTAGAGGCTTTATTGAAATAATTTTTGTTAAATATTCATGAAAAGTTGGGAAAAAACCCACGAAGATTGCGATATTAATCCGAAATCAAACGTTTCAGTGCGAAAACCTCAAGTATCAGATTTTCGAAGATCACATTGCGTATGACAATTTCAATGATGCGACATTTATTAAATCCATACCACGTTATCGTACGTGAAGGAGTCCGAGTCTATGCCGAACAACAGCGTCTTAATATCCGACAAGAACTTTTTCAGAGAAACCTCTCGCATCAGTTGTATGGCAGTCATTGCCTGTAACACAAAGAGAGGAATTTTTGCATGATACATTTGCATAAACGTGGCTGTCTTTACCTTCTTTGGCAGCAGTGATAAAATACTTGTTTGTCTTATCCTCGCTAAGTGCATCGTTGTCTCCGGCAGATCAGTAACAAATAGCGTCTGCTTAAGAGATTCCGCAGTTCCGAGGGATTCCCACGTTCGTAACTTTGAGACGCAGTCATCAGAGAGCCGCATATTTTCCCATATTAAGTCAACGTTATCTTTAACGTGTTTCTCTTCGTTCGCGAAATTACAATTAGAGTCGTCCAATGAACACAAGCCGTTTAAATTGTCTTTTTGATTCTCTATAGGCTCTATCCATTCGCAAGGCAAAGTCATGTTTGATATAAATTTTGGAGTGGACAAGTATAGTTTACTGGTTTGCTCTGTGTCGATCTGCTAAAGAGGAAAGATACAATTTATACGAGGAGTCCGTGTATGAATACAAAGTGATATAGGAAGAAAGGAAAATATTTTGGAAAGCAATAGTCATTATAAGGAAGTTCCTGTGAACATGTATTTTGTTCTAGATAGTTGTGGAAATAGAGCTGTTTGATTTTGGCAGTCACAACTATTCTTTTCTCTCCTCACTGCCTTTATTGATGCATGTATAGCTCCCTCGACAATTCAGATTACGTTCTAATCACTGTCATTACTGAAAATCTATAGTATAAGTGATATAAACTATGCATTTTTTCAGTACTGACAGTAAATATCAGAATGCAACCTCTATTGACAATTGCCTGTTAAGTGATACTTTGTGATATTTAATAAAGTGCTTTTAACGATGCTAGATGTCTCCACTCATGCTGAATATGATAATATAATAAAGTGATGTATGATAATGTGATATATATGATTTTTGTGATAAAACTACTTTTTTGTATGCTGCTGTTGCAAAATATTGTCGGCAATTTTCCAAATATAGAATTTTAAATTGTCTAGTATTAGAATTTTCAACAATGATTAAAGATACATGGCATTGTTGAAAGCACTTCTTTCCAGAATTATCAAGAATAAAACACATTCATAGAAAACTTTTTTCAACAAACCATATTTTCACTTTCCAAAATATTTTCTCTTTCTTTTAAATCACTCTTATATGCAAGAATGTAATGCAGTCTTACCATAAAACACGTCAAAAGAGGACTGATCATATTATATTGTTTCGGTATATTGTCGCTACTATTTGATATACAAGGAGCCATTTCAATAGCATTATTATATCTGAAATATTTTATCATTAACTTCCTGACAATCACAAGGAATTCAGAATCATACCTGATTGTTTCTATCCCAAGTATGGCCTTAGACACATGCTGATCTTCAAATGATATTCTACTGACAAAATTGGCAGATGCATTTTGCTTAGGATATGTTCTACAAATGCCCAACATGGCTTCGAACTTCTCAGGTAAGACAAGCGATTCCATAGGATATGTTTGAAACATGGGCACACCATTTGTACATGTGACATCTTCAGGCAAGAGAGGATTGGTTTTACCATAGTGAAATATATCCTAAAATTATGACACAAGATTAAACTTGCAATAAATTTGATACATTCCATTGACAAAGTAATAAATTAAAGAAATCTACAAAATAACCACCAATGCAGGTTGTGTATCAATCTGAAAATGTTTAAGCTCTATCAATAACTTTAAAACAGGATCAACCACAGGTTCTATGTTAGCTTCCTGATTGAACAAATTGTTTATTAAATTCTCCAATTCTGTAGCCTCCGATATACGTTTCAGGGATAATTTGAGTACAAAGGCATGCTTTAATATCTGCACTAAGGGGTCAGCTCTACAATTTGCCTTGTTCTCTGTAATTAAAGCTTACAGTTAAAGTGCTGTTATTCAAAAAATACCTATATAGTTTCTTTATACTTTATACTTTAGTTTAAAAAATATAATG